GAGTATTTAAGCAGAAAGAACACCTGCCTAATAAATGTGACGCCCTGAGTTCAAACACCAGTGCTGCCAAAAAAAAAATTGTAATAATAAAACATTTTGTCTGCTCAGAGATTTTACAGACCTTATATGGATTTTAAGTTTGGTTTAACAGTCCTACTCAGGTAACCATTAAGCCCCTACTTATCTAAGAACATCAGTAATAAAGTATTGCACTTCCAGTTGACGGGAACAGAAAAAGTTATATGTGGATTAATTTTGCTGGATTGGGATAGACACCATGGAAGGATCTAGGTCCAGTTTTCTAACCCAATTTAAAATCTCATAGCAGGAAGCTCCCCTGAAACCTGCAGCTCGCCTCCCCTCTCTGTATAATTTGTCACACATCATTTTCCCTGGCATGCTGACCTCTCCCACAAAGTGCCTGCAAATCCATGCTTATCCTTTACAGCCAGTTCAAGAGGCCCTTTCTTCTGGATGCCACCTTCATACCAACAGGACAAGTAACCTTCTTCTGAGCCCAGGAACCATGCTCACAGAGCTGTTTTACCTCGATGATATTATAACGAAACTTTTTTATATTTTCATGTGCTTTTCCAGTGACCAAAAAAAGTGTGTTTCATGTATCAAACCAGGGACTCTGGTCTACATTTTCAGAAAAGACCATTAGGAACTGGATCCCCATTCTGTTGGAGACAATTGCGAGAGTGCAGTTCTATAACTGGTGCCCCTGCCTTTCTCTGCCTCATACGATGTAATTAAAATGTGAATTAAATTTTTAAAAACCCACTTCTACAGGCCCCAAGTTCTGCACCTTTCTGAATGTTCCAGCATAGGCAACATTCGTGTTGTAACTAAACTGAACACAGGATTAGACAGCAGTGATCACCACATAGATTTAGTTTCTCCTGAAGCATCTTAAAGATTCCACAGAAAACCCTCACTGAATTCAATCAATTTGACTTTTTAAGAAACAATCCCTACTCTGATTCTGGGGACAAAAATAACTGGATGACCAAGGCAGTTGTTTTCTAAATGTCGTCTTTCCTGGGTCAACCTCTTCCCACCAGGGAGGCATGTTGTGTTCCTGGCCTCAGAAATACCAAAAGGGAGCAGCACCTACAGTGTCAAAGAATTCCATGTCAAGGAGGCCAGTCCCCCTCATGGATCAACCCAGCCCTGCACCCGATATTCGTCAGTAGCAGGACCCAAATATTGAAGCCTCAGAATCACTTTACACTCTAAACATATCACAGAAAACCCCAGGACCTTCTGTTTACATTCACTATGTTCATTCATATTTACTTCTTAGAAAGTTATTTTAATATTCATGAGTTAATGATCATTTAATTATAATGAACAAATTATATGTCAATATAAACACCATACTTTGAAAAAGCAAGCCTGTTTCCTATAATAAAAAGATTAATAAGGAAAATGGCAATGATTTCCATTTTCTAACTCTCTCTCATGACTGACTCTACAGACATCTTATTTCCCATAACTGCCCTGCATTCATCCGTTACATCATATTGTTTTCCTGAGTTGTATTTTGAAAAAGACTGTGTCCTAGCATAGATGCACAATGAAAAAAGTAAGCACGTCCCAGCTGCTTCCAATAGTTTGGGATCACCAGGGTTCTAGGATCACACTTGACCTAATCAGTGAGCACCTCTCATCCCTTAGGCCCAGCAGAGGGTTCTGAGAGGGACCCGTGACACAGTCACAGAAGATGGCTGGGAATGCTGCTAATTACTGAGACAATATAAAGTTTGGAGTTGCTGCCATCTGCTTATCAACATGTGGGGACATCTGTCTGAAAAGAGAAGCAACATAAGGGAAAGGGGGATGGAGCAAAGAGAGAAGCTGAATTCTGTTTTCACCATCTGAGTTCTGATAAGCTGCTCATTAAGCCATAACAGTACCTTGTTACCTAGGATGGTTTAACTGTGCTTTCAGGTTCTTAGGACATCATAGAGACCATGTACTTGGAGATAAGGGGTTTCAGGTGCTAAAGAGCAGGAAGAAAACAGTTATAATGAATTCAACAATAAAATCCATGCTGTGTAATTTTTTTCATCTTCACATGAGCAGCATTTTTAAACAGAGTGGAGTGAGTAGGTCTCCTTGAGAAAATTACTTTTGAGTAGACTTACAGGGCATGAAAAAGTTACCATGCACATGCAGGTGGATGGCATCAGGCCCAAGTGCTCATAGGCAGGAATGTGCCTGGTACCTTCAACAGCAAAGAAGTCAGAAAAGAAGAAAAAGGCTGGGTATAGTGGCTCATATCTCTAATCCCAGCTACTTGGGAGACAGAGATGGGGAAGTTCATGGGTAGAGGGAAGCTCAGGCAATTTTTCTGTCTCAACACAAAAGTTAGCTGTGGTGGCATATGCCTGAGGTGTTAGTGACATATTAGACCTGGGTTAGGGGGATCACAGTCTGAGGCCAGCCCTGGGCAAAAATGCAACACCCTATCTGAAAAACAACTAAAGTAAAACAGAGCTGGGGGCATGTCTCAAGTGGAAGAATCCCTGAGTTCAAATCTCAGTATTGGAACAAGAAGAAGAATGAGGAGGGGGAAGGGAAGGAAGAGGAGACGGGAAGCAGGGAGGAGGGGAGAGCATGAGTGAGAGGGAGAATGGTAAGGCTTGGAGGAGGACAGGTCAGGTACAGATTTCAGAAGGCTTCTAGCAGAGGTGGGCTTTGCAGTGATGCCAGTGGGAGCTGTGGTGTCTCAGGAGCGGTGGTCATGTCTTCTAGCATGAAGGGAAAAACCGCCATCCTTCATGATAGATTAGCTGGGGTTATAAGAGAAAGAAAGGAGTAAAGCAGTCTTCACACTTTGACTGAAAAAGGGGAAAGTCATCTGCAACTGAGATGGGAATGCCATTATCCTCTTCCTAGAAGTCACAGGCTTACAAACCACCACAACCCAAGCACCAGTGACTCACACATTGTGGTCATTTATTTGATATTACTTAAATGAATGAGCTGACATAGAACAAGCACTGTCCAAATGTCTCCCTGCCTTGCAGGCTCCTCTCCCTGGCTTCTCTCACCAGGCTTATGAGACAGGCTGAGTTGGAGTCAAACCTAAGCTTGGTGGTGTGAACACCGTGTTTGGAGATGAGCCTTAATTTCCATCTACAGAAGACAGACTTGGTGAGCAGCTACTCTTGTTTCAGTCAAACGTGTCATATGGAGCCCTCCTTTGTGTTACCTGTCACTGTGTCACTGGTGAGCAAGACTTTATTACATAAGCCATTTGGGACATTTGAGACTCAATCCATAGCAACCAGGTTACAATGACAATTCCATAAATTGCGTGCACTGACATTCCATACACAGTCACTGCATGAGGGAAGCTGTGCTGGGAGATGCTGATGGTTGACATTCTATGTCAGCAGGTCAAGAGCAGACACTGCAAGAGTATCCTAGGGCTGAAGAAATTGCACATGTTCACAACTCTGTTCTTGTTCATGACTCTATACAGCAAGACATTGATCAGCCATGACACAAATGTGCCCAACTGTGGGTTTTATGAAATGGCAGAAGTCTTTTAGTGACACAATGTAATACAATGTTCATGCATTAAAAAAAATACTTAACACACAGGCAGAATTCTGGCTGTTCCCCACAATGAAAGCATGAATCAAGCAATTAAATGTACCAGTAAATTGGGCTGCATGATTGTTATGCTACAAAATACTGAAGATCTGTTCAAAGTTTAGACATCACAGTGAAGCTGGAGATGCAGCTCAGTGGCACAGCACTTGCCAAGCATGCACAAGGTTCAGTGTTGGATCCCCAGCACCACACCAGAAGACAAGAGCCAACCTGACTAAACAAAAACTCACATTGAAGTCATGGTGTATTTTGATCAATATAGGCTTAAGCTTACTCAGGCTTCAAATATATTAGAAGTCCTCTCCTGAAGGTGCTCAGTGTACAGCTAGCCTTCCTGCACTGGCTCTGGAGCAAATGAGGGGAGCTGTAAATGACACAGCAAACTTACACAGGACAATCAGAGAACTCTCACGGGGCCTGCTCTCAACACACACACAGGGCAGATATTGTCTTAGTTATTTCTCAGGACACAGCAACAAGTCTGATGATCATAAACAAATGTTTCTAGGAGCCAGACAAATGTCATGCTGACTGAGCAGGCATGATGAGAGGCAGGAGGGAGAAGCAGAGTCAGCGAGGACACCTGACCCAGTGGCCCTTCACTGGAAAGGAGTGTTGCTCATTCACACAGGCAGGGAGGGACACTCAAGTGCACCAGCCACCATCAGAGGACTTCAAGATGAGACAGGAATGGAAACTCTCCCTGTGAAACTGGCTGTCCCTGGATCTGCTGCTCTGAGTAACAGCCCTGACTTTATGGACCTTGGCACTTCAGAGCCTGTGGAGGCACAGTCACATAGCCTGTGCTCATTCACAGGCAACAGGGAGGATCACACACAGTATGCAGATCCCATCCTCATACTGTCCTGCCCAGGGTGACCTGTCCTTCTAGCACACCAATGGCACTGCTGTTCTTGGGTACCCGTTGGTCACCCAAGTGAAGAAAGAAGAAAGCAGTTGCCCAAGTGGGCATGTAGCAATCTGGGTTTCTGCAGGTTCAAGACTCAGAATGCTCCTGGCTCTGCCAGCTCCACCCACAAGGCCTGCTCTATATCTACTGTGCCAAGTAGGGTGGACCCACTGGCCCTGACCTCAGGACAACCAGCTGGGTGTGTTCTCACAGGAGACACAGCACAAGACTGGGTAAGGCATGGAGCCCTGGAACCGGGATGGGATGGGCAGCAGTGGGACAGCACAGGAGAGAGGGCAGAGCTGAAGTTAGTGCCCAGAGGCTTGTCATATTTTGGTAATGACAAATGAATGGTAATATGACCCGCAGGACAGCAGGGAGCCTGTAGGCTGGGACCAGGGCGTGTTATAACTGAGTCAGGATTCGGGGACTGTCATTTCTCTTTTTTTCCATAGGAAACATGGTTGCAAAGCTGCTCCATTCCCAACTTTGCCTCCTGCTGCTGCTGGGGCTCCTGGGAATAGTGCCCTTGTTGCAGGCCGGACCACATGGTTTACCTGATTATGAGTGGTTTAGAATCCAGCACATAAAAAATGGGAGCATCCAATGTAATATCGAAATGCTGAAAATTAACACCTATACAAGGATTTGCAAAGGCTTTAATACTTTTCTTAATATAAACTTTACCGATGCTGTTAATGTATGTAACAACCCAGTTACAATGTGCCATGAAGGAAAATCCCAAAACTGTCACAATAGTTCAGTTCCTGTGTCTATAACTGATTGTAACCTCATCTCACCTTCAGATAATATTACACAATGCAAATATTCTCGAAACCGGAGCATAAGTTTCTACAGAATTGCTTGTGATCCAATAACTCCACAGGTTAATGATACCTTGGTTCCAGTTCACTTGGATGGGACATTCTAGCTCCAGAGGCAGCATCTCATACCATCGCTCATCGGCCAGCTCCACAATCACATGAAGACCCAATCCCTTCATCCACCTGCCATGTCAGCACCTGTCATGGAACCAGGATCAGCTGAAGCAGCCTGTGGCTTATGCAATAAACATCTTTGCAGAGTCATCTAGATGTCTGTGTGTCTCTTCTTTCTGTCCTGCTGTCATCTAGTCACAATCATCCTGGAAACATTTCCCTTCCTTTCCCTCAGTTTTTGGGGAATAGAGAGATGGGAGCTTAGAGACTCTTTGTATCAGGGAGGAGCAGGGCATTATTCCTCTCGCTGCCTTAGGCTGGGACTGGGGTCTCCACTGAATCTGCACAGTGACAAAGATTGGTGAGCTTGGCTCCTCCACCCCTCTCCACCACTAAGCCCTTCCCTTGGTTCTCCAAGTCCTTCCTTTGGTTCTCCAAGTCCTTCCTTGCACACTCCAACTTTGGTATTATTTTTGTTATTTTGTGACTGACAATGATTGCACAAATTTATGGCATGTACGGAGGTTCTGGTACATGTATATGATGTGTAGTGATTAAAATCAAAATAATTAGCATTTCCAACACTTGTCAGCATTTCCTAGTAGAAATGATCGAAATCTTCTCTGCTAGCTATTGTGGAACAGAGTGAATTGTTATCTACAGTCACCCTCTGTGCTGTAGTACTCTAGGACAGGTTACCTCTATCTACCTCTATTTTGGTAGCTGCGACACAGCCTTTCCCTAGTCCCGTGCTCCCAGCCTCAGGCTTCTCTATTCCCCTCACCACTTTTGTTTGATAGGGCATCTAGTCCCCAGGAGTGAGAACATGTAGAATTTGTCTCCCATATTCATTTATTTCACTGAACGTAGAAGTTCCATTCTTGTTTTCACTCTTAATGACTAAATAGCATCCCATTGTGTGCGTGCACCGTTTTCATTATTATTTGTAGGGGTGAAGAACCCTTAGGTTGCTTGCGTTTGAACAGCGCTGCAGTAAACATGAGAGCACACCTGTCTCTATGACACACTGATCCCCCTGGCTTTGGATGCCTACCCAACGTGGGAGTGCTGGATCACATCACAGTTCTATCTGGTGTATTTGAGAAACGTCCATACTGCTTATGGGAATGGCAGCACTAACGTGAGAAACCCTCCTACCATGCACAAGGGTACCTTTTCACCACATCCTCAGCAGCATGAATTACTTCTGTCTTTTGGAAGATATTCATTCTAAGTTGAGGAGATGATGTCTCATTGTGACTTTGATTTGCATCTCCCTCAGGATAATGCTTTTGACCAGTTTTCTTATATGCATGGTGGCATTCATTTGTGTTCTTTTGAAGACTGTCTATTCAGATCATCAGCCTATTTTTTAGTCATGTTTGTATTTCTCCTGTTGAGATGTTGGAGTTCTTTGCACATTCTGGACACTAATTCCTTTTCACATGAACAGTTTGTAAATATTTTCCTTCATTCTGTGGGTTACCTCTCTACTCTGTTGACTATTTCTTTGCTGTGTAGGACCTTTCTAATTTGATATAATATTTTTGGGTTTTTTTTCACTCTGTTGCCAGTACTTTTGTGAACATCTCAAAACAATTCCTGCCTTTAACAACTGAAAAGTTTCTTCTAAGTTTTTTCTAGTATTTTCCTCTTTCCAAGTGTGACAGTTAAGCCTTTCTTCCATTTCAAGTTGATTATTCTAAGGGTGAAAGATAGGTATCTAGTTTCATTATTCTGCATATTGGTGTCCAGTTTTACCTGCACAGTTTATTGAAGGAGTGTGCTTTCTCAATACACAGTCTGGTGTCCTCATGGAAAATCAGTTGCAGGTAAGGATGTGGATTTCCTTCTGGGATTGCTGTGTTCCTTAGGTCTATGTCTGGCAGGGTTTTGCCAGAAGCAGACTGTTTGATTGCTCTATTTTCTGTGCTTTTTCACCATTTACTTATTTACTTATTTTTAATTAGGATATATTTGTTGTACATGAGTCATTCATTGTGTCAATTCTAAATAAGCTTATTCTGTACGCTGGTTAGATCACCCTCACCACCTCTCCTCCACAATCCCCTCCCTTCCCCACTTAAAGCAACTGCACTCTATAAGTATATGAACTCCATCCACCATACACCCCACCTTGGTCTCTGTCATTCACCCTCCCCCAGTACCCTCACACACACTGTGTGCCTATTTTACAGTCTTGCTTCTCATTATTAATAATGTAGTCAATAGGGGTTTCTCAGTGGATCCCTGCAGTGAGTGTACTTTCCTTTGCTCCCTTCAACCCCTTCACACTACTCTCCCTTATCCTTTTACCTCCCACCTTTCATTTTTCAATAGCTATCAATACATATTCTTATATCCTCTACCTTCACACGGTATGTTTTATTATATTACCGATTCTCTATCATTCCCTCTTCCTTTCCCTCCTTCCCCGAGTTCCATAGAGAAGTTCCACTGTTACAAACATGTTTACATATGAGTTTGTGTGTGGTCATGCTTGTTTGGGGGTTTATGTTTATCTTTTGGATCAATCCTCCATATGTGAGTAAAAACATGTGGTATTTGTCTTTCTGATCCTGGCTTACGTCATCAACATGATGTCCTCCAGTTATATCTGTTCACCTTCAAACCACATGTCACATATGTCATTATTCCTTAAGCTGAGCAAAACCCCTATACATGTATACTTATATATATGTACACACACACACTTTCTTGATCCATTCGTCAGTTACAGGACACCTGGGCTGTTTCCAAAGGTTGGCTATTGTGAACAGTGCTGCAATAAACATCAGTGCACAGGTCTCTCGGTTGTATCCTGTCTTGCATTCCTTTGGGTAGATGCCCAGAAGCAGTATCACTGGATCATATGGCAGTTTGATCTTTAACTTTTTGAGGCATCTTCATACTGCTTTCCTAATGCTCGTACTAATTTGCATTCCCACCAACAGTGTAGAAGCATTACTGTTTCGTCACATACTAGCCAGCATTTGTTGTTGAAATGCTCTTGAGTATGTCCTTTTAACTGGGGTGAGATGAAATTTTAGTGTTGTTTTGATTTGCATCTCTTTCATAGCCAGGGAAGTGAACCCTTCTTCATGGATTTACTGGCCATTTGTATGTCTTCCCTTCAGAATTGCCTGTTTAAATCATCTGTTCATTTCTTCACTGGGATGTTGATTCTTTGGGGGTTGAGTTTTTAGGTCTGTAGATTCTGGGTATTATTCCCTTATCATGTGAATAACTGGCAAAGATTTTCTCCCGTTCTGTAGGCAATCTCTTGAGTCTACTGACTGTTTCTTTTGCTGTGCAGAAGTGTTTTAGTTGATGCAGTTCCATTTGCTCATTCTTGGTCTTAGATGTTGAGTCTTTTGAGTTAAGTTTAGGAAGTCATTTCATATGCCTATCTGTTCCAGTGTGCTTCCTACTACTTACTGGAGTTGTTTCAGAGTTTTAGGCCTTATATTAAGGTCTTTGATCCACTATGAGTTGATTCGGTATGGGGTGAGAGGCAGGGATCTACTTTCAGTCTTCTATGTGTGGATGTCCAGTTTTCCCAGAAGCATTTGTTGAAGGCAATCTTGATGATGCCTCTAGTTACATTCTCTTGCCTCAGCATTGCTTTGGCTCTTTGGGGTCTTCCCTAGTCCCATATGAATTCTGGGATTTTTTTCCCGTGTTTTCTGAAGAACGCCATTGGTATTTTTACAGAGATTGCATTGATATAGAGACCTCTATCAGTAGAATTGTTATTTTAACAGTATTAATTTTTGGATCATGCACATGGGATGTCTGACCATTTTTTGTCCTGTTTGTAATCCTTTCCTCATTGTTTTATAATGCTTATTACAGAGATTTTTCTCCTTGATAAAATATATTGCTAGCACTTTGATTTTTCATTATGTGCTTTTTGTTTTGAACACTTCTTTTTGGATTATTTTCCTGCGTTATTTTTCAAATAGCTCAATATTGGTGTACGGAAGTCCTCCTGGTTTACATGATTATTTCTTTTTTTTTTTCTTTTTTCTTTTCTTTTTTTCTTTTATTATTCATATGTGCATACAAGGCTTGGTTCATTTCTCACCCCTGCCTCCACCCCCTCACTTACCACCCACTCCGCACCCTCCCTCTGCCCCCCCTCAATACCCAGCAGAAACTATTTTGCTCTTATTTCTAATTTTGTTGTAGAGAGAGTATAAGCAATAATAGGAAGGAACAAGGGTTTTTGCTGGTTGAGATAAGGATAGCTATACAGGGCATTGACTCACATTGATTTCCTGTACGTGGGTGTTACCTTCTAGGTTAATTCTTTTTGATCTAATCTTTTCTCTAGTACCTGTTCCCCTTCTCCTATTGGCCTCAGTTGCTTTTAAGGTATCTGCTTTAGTTTCTCTGCATTGAGGGCAACAAATGCTAGCTAATTTTTTAGGTGTCTTACCTATCCTCACCCCTCCCTTGTGTGCTCTCGCTTTTATCATGTGCTCAAAGTCCAATCCCCTTGTTGTGTTTGCCCTTGATCTAATGTCCACATATGAGGGAGAACATACGATTTTTGGTCTTTTGGGCCAGGCTAACCTCACTCAGAATGATGTTCTCCAATTCCATCCATTTACCAGCAAATGATAACATTTCGTTCTTCTTCATGGCTGCATAAAATTCCATTGTGTATAGATACCACATTTTCTTAATCCATTCGTCAGTGGTGGGGCATCTTGGCTGTTTCCATAACTTGGCTATTGTGAATAGTGCGCAATAAACATGGTGTGCAGGTGCCTCTGGAGTAACAGTCTTTTGGGTATATCCCCAAGAGTGGTATTGCTGGATCAAATGGTAGATCATGTCTAGCTTTTTAAGTAGCCTCCAAATTTTTTTCCAGAGTGGTTGTACTAGTTACATTCCCACCAACAGTGTAAGAGGGTTCCTTTTTCCCCGCATCCTCGCCAACACCTGTTGTTGGTGGTGTTGCTGATGATGGCTATTCTAACAGGGG